ACCTGTAAAATTAGGTTAGAGAAGGCATTATAGTATTGCATAATGTTAGCATTTAGATGCCTGGATTTTCAAAGTCCTGTGAGCACATTTTAAATACTAGAAAGAGTAAATTACATTAACTCTTCAAGATAAAAAATGTAATGTAAAAGAGGCTATAGTATTAATGAATCCCCTTTGAATAAGTCAGAAATGAAATAACATGGGAGAAATATTCATTGCTACTGTTGTGCTTCTGCCTAATATTTTTCTCTCAACAAAGAAGCATTACAGGGTGTCTCCCGTGCTCATCCACATGTACGTCAGCATGGTGTTTTGACATGCCAGCTTTCCCATGTGTAGTTGTGTCAGTCAACACATGCTTTCCCTCTGCTTAGAGGCCTGTTTTGGACCCATTCATTGGCTATGATGAAGACTCTATGGATTCGGAGACATCTTCCATGGCCTCCTTCAGAACAGACCGAACACCAGCTACTCCCGACGATGACCTCGATGAGGTAAGCTCATCTGTTTCTCTAGTCTTGTGTGATGTTGTCACCAAATCTTTCCTTTAAGGGAAAGAAAAAAAAAATCACTTTTCATCTCCTTTATGACCCACACATAGTGATCTCATAACAGTGACCAAGTCTGAGACCACAGTTTGCCTTATTCCTTCTTGATAAGTAACATCATCTGTGTCATGTGCAACTTCTAGAAACTGCTCTGCAATTCAGCTCTATAAGTTGAAGACTTCTTTCAAAATAAAAGTTACTCTCCAACATCCTTCATCTAGGGAAGTTGTGAGCCCATGAACAAGCTCAGGGGTTTTCTGTATAGAATCTAAGGCTCTCTGATCCACCCTCAACAGACCAATGTAGGTGGTTTCATTACAGTGAAGAATCCAGGACCCAAACACACATCCCTTGACTTGGGATCTGGGGGGTGAATATCCCCCAGTCTTCAATTTTCACAAAACTCCCTAGTGATTGTGTAAATCCTGAAGTTTAGGACCTTGAGCTATAAACAGTTTTTTTTTTATATAATTTATCTGCAAAAGAAGTCGTGGATATGAATTATTGAAAAGAAGTAAAATTTTGAATATCATCTTCCTTTGATTTAGATCCAAAATCCATGTACTTATTTGCATTTGGATCTAAATTGTCTGATATCCAGTCATAAATGGGTAATAATCAGAAATGAACAAGTGAGTAAATGCTTCTTTTAAAAATTCATTTCTTACACATTTCTGCAATGTCTATCTTGAGAGTAATACAGTACTTGTGTCCACATATACACTTGAGAATTAAAAATGAAATCAAACAGAATGTTAAATCAAACAACTTTCCTTCCCTATAAACAGTGAGTGAATGTTAGTTATTGCTTACCTGGGACACAGAACCTGAATTAACACAATCACTTTGGGGCTGTTTTGGTTTTTGTTTGTATTTTAACCTCAAGAGTTTAGCAGCTGAAGAATCTGAGCTACGATTTCGACAATTGACAAAAGAATACCAGGCCCTCCAAAGAGCATATGCCCTGCTACAGGAGCAGACGGGAGGCATCATCGATGCTGAGCGAGAAGCCAAGGTTGGTGCTCCACTGCCCAGAGCGCTCTGAATTAGGTTGGAGAGGTTGCAGCATGGATCTCAGCAACAGGAAAATGTCAGTCAGTAGCATCCTTCTCTCCTCCAAGGCTTGTGAACTGTTTTAATTTTTTTGTCAATACACCTTGGATCTAAAGACATTAAAAACAACCTAGATTGATGCTTTTGTTGAGTATGTAGTTCTCATTCTTGCCATCTGAAAACTTTGATTTTCAAAAACAAAAAAAAATGGGTTTAAATTCCTGCAAAAAAAAAAAATAACTTTTATCTTTTTGGCTAGCTAGTTTCTTTTCTTAGTAAATAATTACATAATATTACATTGGACAGCTCACCGAGAATTTTCACAGACTCTATCTCACTTAATTCCAGTGACAGCTCCCTAAGGCAGTTATTTTATTAAAAGGGAGTTTAAGACTCAGAAAGGTTAACTTAATTGCCCAAGTTCACACAGCTGGTAAATGGCAAAGCTGGGATATCACTCATATCTCTCTCTCTCTCTCTCTCTCTCTCTCTCTCTCTCTCTCTCTTTAGTTGTCAATGGACATTTATTTATTTATTTACTTACATGCAGTGCTGAGAATCAAACCCAGTGTCTTACATTTGCTAGGCAAGTGTTCTGCCTCTGAGCCACAACCCCAGCCCTCCACCTCATATCTTCCTGGGTCAAATGTTCTTTCTCTTATATCATAAGTACCTCGTACAAGCCTATCTTGAAGGAAGGAAGAAAGGCAGACAGGAAGGGAGGGGTGGGGTAAGGAAAAAAGGAAAAAAAAATTAAAACATACTACTGATATTTAACATTTATTGAGTGCTGACTGTGTTACAGACACTGTGTGGAATACTCTACATGCATCTATGTAATCCTAAAACTCTATGAAAAAAATCACTTAGTAGAAGTTAAATGCACCTAGTTTAAGTTAAATTATTTACCTTAGGTCACAAAGACATGAACCTAGCCTTCTGACGTCAAAGTTATAGTCATCACAGTATTCCTACCTCATAGACTGAGGGAACGTTTGTATCCAGTGATTTTGTTTTTGAAGGGACTACAATATACTGAATTTTTTTTTTTTTTTTGGTGCCAGGTATTGAACTCAGGGCCATTTAACCAAGGAGCCACATGTCAATTCCTTTTTTACATTTTATTTAGAGACAGGATCTTACTGAGTTGCTTAGGGCCTCACTAAGTTGCTGAGGCAGGCTTTGAACTCCCTCCTCAGCCACCCAGGCTTCTGGGGTTACAGGTGTGCACTACCACGCCAGGCCAATATACAGGAGAGTACTGTAGCAACTGCTGTCAGTTATTTAGAAGGAAAGATGGCTATTACAATTATATATGTTAAATGGTAGCATACACATACATATACACATTTGAATACATAAGGGAGTAAGCATTTTTTTTTTTTTAATGAAACTTTGGCTTGGAACAGAGAGGCAATCAATCCTTCATTAAAAAGGGGTATACCTGTATGACATCATGCATTTGCCTCAAAACTGTAATATTTGTGTTTTTCACTGCCAGTATTTACTGAGCATTGTTACTGACACAGGAAAGGGAAGTTAAAATATTAGGATTTGGATTTAGATTTAGGTACAAAGTTGGCTTTGTAAGAATGGATAGATGTGGACATGCAAAATGGGCCAAGGCTTTCCAGAAACAGAACTCATTCAAATGCAGAAGTGGCAAGTTAGAAACTAGGACTTAGGAAACAAGAATGTCACCAGCAGGTAAGGGGTAGACTCCACGCTGAGGAGGAGTAGGAAAACATGGGCTTTTTTGATTGCCGTGCTAAAGGGCTCGGACACTAACCTGATGATAAAGGGAGCCACAGAGGGTTTTAAGCAAGAATTTAGATCATAGAAGTAGTTTAGAAAGATGCTTTTGTCCTAGAGATTCCATTTTTTTTCTCTCATCTCTGTTGCTTGTTGAGTAACTAGTGAAGGAACAGGAGAGAAAGAAAAATGTTAAATTGATGTAGGACAGAAGAGGCTAAACTTAACCTGAGCAGTTTTTAGGAAGCAGAATTATCTAGCTGCAGCAGTCCAGAGTATCTATCACCTAAAAAACTCTGGACCCTGAGTCTGGAAATTTGTTTAGATTTATACTCAGTGGGGTGGTGACATGTTAGTGAGTTGGGTATATAACAGTTATTCTTTGTCTCATATTTTTAGGCTAGACAGGTTTTATGATTTTTTTTTTCTGCAACCCTAACCCTAACCCTACAAAGAACAATGCCCTCTGCAGAAGTTATTACTGACATCCTGTGTAAAAATCTTTCTGATGAGAAGAGAACCTTAATTATGGGGGGGTGTCCTTGGAGAAGCTTATATATTAAAATATGGTAGGGGGTCTCTTTGGTGGGGGTACTGGCCGTTTTGCTTGTTGAGTTCTGGAATTTTCATTTTCACCAGGCTCAAGAGCAGCTCCAAGCAGAGGTGCTGAGGTATAAAGCCAAAATCGAAGATCTGGAAGCAACGCTGGCTCAGAAAGGGCAGGTAGGCATGCGGGATGCTACCTCTTCTGCAGATGCAGAATTCAATCTGACCCTCCTCCAGTTCACCCCATGCATGGGCCAAACCAAGAACACACCTTGGCTCTCCACAGTGACCTTTCTCAAATTGTGTCAGAATGTTCACTCAGTATTTCTGTCCCTGGTGTTTTGCTGGCCAGAGTGTGAAACCAGCCACAACTGGGAATGAGGTGAGGTGAGAGAGAAGAGGCCAGAGGAAGAGGAACCCCATACAAATAGCCTAGAGTTTTCACAAGCTGCTAAGACTAAGACCCACCTGACCCTCAGCTGCATTCTTTGCCTCTATGCTACATCTATGGTTCTGCATTTTAATGTTTCCATTCATATGTATCTAGCCTGTGTGCATTCTGACCCTTTTCACTTTTTGCCTGTGTGGTCACTTCTGAGTCCCCAGAAGGCTGGTCCTGGATTATTCAGACTGAAGAAGGTAGAGGTAGCCAGTGAGAGGGAAAGGGGGTGAAATCTTCCTGGCAACTTTGGCCCCAATGTCTTTGAAGAAGGAGCTGGCAGGGGTGGGTGTCACTTATCAGCTGTTGGTAGGCAAAAGCACCAGGTAGAGAGAAGACAGCTCTGGCCAAGTGGTTTTGCCGACACGTGCTCTTTCGTGCCACTCTGAAATGCTGACTGCGCGATATTCTTTGTCAAACAGGATTCACACTGGGTAGAAGATAAACAACTTTTCATTAAGAGAAACCAGGAGCTTTTAGAAAAGGTATGTTGGGCGCAACACCCTAGTGGGGCAGAGGAGAAAATGACAAGAGATCCAGGAGCAGCAGGGGGTGCTCTCAGGAGTGGCACAGGGGCCAGGGAAGGGGAGGCTTTTCCGGCGCTGCTCTATCCTCTGCTGCGTGCTCAACTGCATCCCTGTCACCACCATCACCATCAGTTAAGTGGCACGTGTGCATGGCTCCACGCTGCGCGTCCTACAGACTTGAAGGGTGTGATCCCCACAACTCGCTGATCTGTTAACCATGTATATATGTATATATATA